CCTATTCGTGGCAGCAGCTATAGGCTCTCACTCTGGCCAGTACAAAATGGCCGCAAACTACATGAAAACTGCCGTAGAAGCATGAAAAAATCGATTATTTCCACTATCGATGGGAGTTGGGAAATGCAAAGTAGGTTTTGGCCTTTCCGCTAACTTGGAGCCTGTGCATGTAAATTTTGGTGCAAAACAGTCGAAAATTGCGGCCGTGCATTCGTTACACACACACACACACACACACACACACACACACACATCCTGCCTTTTATAGATAAAGATAATATAAGCATAATTTCGAAAAAATATAATGCTGAAATAGTCATGATTATTAAGTAATCATGATTATAATTTGAAAATATGTATATTTTTTTCTTTTATTATTTCCAATAAAAGAAACGTCTCCTTTTATAAATTCATCAGCTTCAGTGAATATTGGAATGTATTCATGGCTAGAATAATATTAAATAATTGGAAATGCATGTTAAATTTCACGGTTTTTATATTTGAATTTTATGAAGAATCTTAATTCTTAAGTTAATGCTTGAATAATCTCATGGTTAATAAAATATCCGTAAAAATCCCCGTATCCAATTGATAAATATTTGAGCTTAAAAAACTCACTAAAAGAATATTGCATTAAGAAACATAAATATGAACGCTGGTCGTTATTCAAAGAAGTAAGAGGTACAACATTTTCCATTTCACTGAAGCAGACGTTAAACACTTTTATATTCCCTTCCTTCTTTTTTTTTTTTTAAACAAACCATCCCATGTTTGGTTTAGTTTGGTTTGTTTTACGGCGTATCAACCTCAATGGGTCATTTAATGCCGACAATTTTTCTTCTTTTTTTTTGGTTTTGTCAAAAATCTATTTCTGGTATTATTTTTCCTTCAAAAATGTATTATTTTTTCCTAAAAAAATTATTGCTGGTAAATATTTTTTTACAAAGTATTTCTGGTATTAAAACCTATTTTTACACTTGCATAGTGTTTTGACTTCAATTTCGGGGTTAACTATATCTGGGACCCTAACAGGTGCTATCACCTCGGGTGAGGATGGACCTGGGAACACCAGCAATTAAAAGGCGGTTCCACTCTCCTCAAAACCTCTTGATTAGAGACCTTGCTGTTAGACAGAGTTTATCGTCATACCAAGGACGCCAAACGCCCCCAAGCAAGGTGGGAGCGCCAGTAGAACGCAAAGGGTTACAGAGAGTAAGAGTAAAGTGGAGTGTTGTAGAAAAAGATAAAGAAAACGACAGGGCTCAAAGTCAAGGCATCAGAACATGTCGATAGACATAACATTTAAATATTTGAAGATTAAAGCTATCAGGGAAGCAAGTGATAGCAAGGAAGTTCCATTGACGGAAAGTACGAGTTAAGAAGTTCTTGGAGTAGAAGAGATGGCTGCATTTAGTCGTTTCGTATGTGACAGAGCGAGACCAAGATGCCAACCTAGTCTATTTCTCTTCATGTGCCATATCCCTTCAGGACGTAGGCGATCACGACTCTCCACCTCCCTCTATCCCTTGCAGCTCTCTCCCCCAGACCACATACTGTCTTTCACTTGCTTATGTCCGCCAGGTATGTCACGTGTTATTTTCCCTTGTTTCTCTTTCCTTCTATTCGAACCGTGAGTATCACATTCTCCAGGTCCTCCTTTCTCATTATGTGTCCCAGAAACTTCAGCTGTCTCTTCCTGATATTAAATATAATCCTTCTCCTCATTTGGCAACTGGTCTACTGCAGAAAGAAATGGCAAACTACTGCGGGGAAAAAAATCTACCTTGTTAGTCATGTATCGAAAGATACATGATCGCCTAAGCGTGTATCACACAACTGACTGAAATTGTTTGAATGGAAATTAATCGAAAGGACAATTTTACTAAATGATAATTATTCGAAATGCAAAAGTTCTTTATTTTAATAAAAATGTCTGACATTAAAAGAAGAAATCCACAAATGATAATTTTTCGAAATACAAATATCGTTAATAAAACAATTTAGTAAGACAAAATCCTAATAACCTTAAGTTATATGATACTGCACACAGTAGTGAAGAGTCCTTGTTAAAAGATGCCAGTAATTTTTAATGTTTTCCATTTACATCTTGGTCTTTCTGGTGCTCATAATATTTTGGCAACCTGCTCTTACTTCTGCAATATGAATTTTATTCAAGTACTCTTTTCTTTTAAGACCGTCTAAGACTGGTGAGATGATAGGGTGCCACTTGCTGTCAAAAGCCTTATGTTATCCTTTAATAGCGTTATTAGTTCGAGGTAGATCAGCATTTACTCTTTCAAACAAGACCACTAACTGATTAATATAAATACAACGTATATCGAACATCAAAGGAGAACAGGTGAGGACATTTTGGAAAAAAAATAAGAAAAAATTAGAATGAAAATTATTAATTACTGAAATGCTAATATCAATCCCCCTATATAGCAGGGAATGCTAGACAAATACCTCAGAAGTGGAGACTTGACGTAACAGAGATGAGATTCTACAGAAGGATACTGAGAATGATAACAGACACTTCCAGAACATATAATGAAGAAAGAAGGCTTAAAGAATTTTTGACAGACTCAATGCACATTGACGGCAAGAAGGACAGAGGGAAACATACCAACTTTTCTTTGGGTCGATGGTTGGCAGTCTAGGGACGGGATAAGATATTAAAAAGACAAATATTGCTAACTTCCACAAAGGAAAGCATGTTGAAGTGCAGTATGATTTCTCATGTTTTTTAAGGGACAAGACACATAGAAGTTGAGTTTGTTTAGTGGTATATCAACACTTCTGTAGGTTATTTAATGCCGAAATCTAAATAATTTGAACCAAATTTTATGGCTTAAAATAAATATATTTTGAACGCAATTTTACGCCTTCTAAAGATGAAATGTATTGTTGGTCATTTTGCTTTAAAGGTGTAATGTTGGTCATTTTACTATAAATATAGATTGTTTGTAAGTAATTCTGGTATTTTTAATATAAAAATGTATTTTTAGACTTTCATAGTATTTTGATTGGGGAATTATTATTTTCTCGTAACTGAGATCCTAACAGATCCTATCACCTCCGTGTCTCCGAGGGTGGACTTGGAAGCAACAACACTTAAGAGATGGTTTCACGCTCCTCAAAACATCCAATCACCCGTCAGAGTTTAATGTCATACCAAGGACTTGCGACACGTTAATGGTTGGCCACTCGTATCCGAGAATACCCGTCTACTAGGTAAACTAACTAAACCCTAATGCAGACGTTTGCTCAGAAGCATTTACTGTTTCAGAGGTGTAGTTTATACTGAGCACATTCAGTTTCTGGAAGAGAAGCGTATTATCTAGTGTGATAAAAAAAAATCTCAACAAGGCCATCACCCTCGTTCACGATGACTTCTTGCTAGCACAGACATCAACGACCCTCAAGGGATCCACCTACCCAATTTCACTCTCAATGCTTGGGTCAACCTATGGTTTTGTTTCCAGGTATTTTTCTCTAAGCCGATAACATCAAGATTTCCTGACATATCAACCAGCGTGAGATTCGAACCCGCGTCTCATGGTTAGATGTTTTAACACCTCGGTTACGTGTCCATAAATGGTAACACGTTATAATAGGTTAAATTTCTACCAGAAAACCACATACAATATAACCTAGTAGTAAGCTTTGCCCAAAGTGATTTAATCAAAATATATGTAACTTGTCTCCTATAGTTTGCTGCTATATTTCCCTATCTGGTTGAACAATGTTATCTTTTGGCAAATCTTCATTTTGTCACTGACTGTTAATACATACTTCTATCTTGCCGCTCACTTGAATTTTTTTTCGCCATTTGCTGACAAAACCTCACTTTTTCCACGTACGTAAGTTTAGAGTGTTTTGCATTCTTTTAGTTTTATGTACACGGCTCTTATGATTAAATTATATTCCCCTAGATTTTTGCTCATTTTAATTCTCAAAAATGTTTTGTTTATGCAATAGCGTCATTTCCTGAAAAAAAAAATGCTTTCTCCAAGGAAACAAAAAGGAACAAAGTAAGGAGGTTGTTGGTAGGGCAAGCGATCCTAATAGACGACAATTTAAGTGACGAAATGCCGTCTCTCAAGACATCACTTTTTTAATTGATATTAAATCACTAGAAATTACCCCCACCAAAAAATAACTTTTACAAAGATTTATCTGGATAACTGAATAACCTAAAGAAAAACAAAGTTTTCTATGACGTCTCCGTTGTTAAAATACATCAGTAGTCTAAATATTCTTGTATATATCGGGCGTAACAGTAAAATTGTCCAAATCGTGTAAAAGCAAAACCGTCCATTTCTCAGATTAAGATTTGAACCGTTGTGTATTAGAAATGATTAAAGATATATTACAGGAATTTTCCGAGATTTTTATAACAAGATTGGACTCTACTTTGATTAATAGGAATATATTATTACTATCGAAGCTTAACAGAATTTTCGTGATGAAATCGATCATAAACGAAAATGACATGTTCATCATTAATTGATCATAGCTATGGATCAGAAGCTCATGAAGGTTTGAAATTAATTAATATATATATATATATATATATATATATATATATATATATATATATATATATATATATGTACATACATATATATATATATATATATATATATATATATAATTGTGTATTTACAGCAATTATTCATTAATGCATGTTTCATTGAAAACGACAAATTAATATGATTAACACTTCCGCTGCTAACTACGGAGATCTTCATTTTTCTTATGTTGATCCAGCTGGCTAAGTACGGAAACCTACGTTTTTTGCATACCGCTGATATGAGTGTCCCGTTGCGCCATCTATCGTAAAATACGGGAAATTCTAACTGTTCTATCATGCAAATTATTAGTCAGCCTCGATTTTTATCTACATCATGACGGTTTCGTATCTAATTTGAAAATATTCCTGTCAAAAATGCGGCTAGCAAGCGGATGCTCCCAGCGCCCGTGACCTTGGTTCATACCAAGATGGCGGCGCCCATGAAACGAGCAGCGCGGCTGTCTGCGGAAGATGTTTTGGCAGAAATATTTGCTGACAATGACTCTGAATCAGATCGATTTAGCGAAAATTCTGATTCTGATGATCCCGAGTACGGGCGGGAGGATGGTAATGGTCGTGAAAGTGAAACTGACGGATATATTAGCGATGATTTGAGCAATCACGGTGATGTTGACGTGAATGTTCATCATGGCCAAGGTGATGGTCAGGCCGTAGGTGTAGGCACCGCCGGTGTAGGCACCGCCGGAGTAGTAAATAATGCAATGCCTGCAACACCTGGTGGGTCTGTTGCAATGCCTGCAGCACCCACTGTGCATAGGCCTGGCCCTGTTGATCCTGGTCATGCTCCACAGCCGGCTCTAGCCCGTGGTAGACGAAATCAGGACAAGAGAAATCAAAATCATGTGGGGGACTGGACAAATATTGAGAGACTTTCACATGTGCATCAGTTCACTGGCACTCAAGGCATAAATATGCAGCCCAACGATCCAAGGTGTTGCCTTCAGTGGTTGAAAATATTTCTCACGGATGTGCAAGAAACAAATAGATATGCTCACCAATATTTCCAAGAACACCCCAATCTGAAACAACATTCTCGCTGTCGTCGGTGGAAGGACTTGACAACGGAAAACTTTTGGCTGTTCTTGGCCCTACTGTTCAACACAGGAATAGTGAAAAAGCCTGAAATTCAGATGTACTGGAGCACTGATCGGAAAGTGGCGACTCTGTTTATTCAGAGACCATGGCTAGGGATAAATTTCTTCTGATTCTGAAGTTTCTTCACTTCAGTGACAATAATGCTCGCCCCGACAATGATGAAGATCGTCTCTACAAGATCCGCCCTGTTTATTATAAACAGGTTCAAAGCTGTGTACACTCCTGAGGAAAAACTTTCTCTGGATGAAGGGATGCTCAAATGGCGTGGCCGTGTGAGATTTCGGGTCTATAATCCTCAGAAGCTTGACAAATATGGGATGAAAGGGTACATTGTTTCCGAGTCGAGTAGTGGTTACGTCTGTAACTATGAACTCTATTGTGGTATTGGCAGAACAGTTCAGTAGATCTGTGGTGGACTTCTGGAGCACCTATATAGCTTTGGCTATAAAGTGTACTTTGAAAATTGTTACAATAGTGTCGTATTGGCCAAATTCTTTCTGGAAGATGAGCGGAAAGTTCATGTTTGTAGTACACTTCGGCTGAACCTCTGGTGCTCCACGTGACCTGCGGCAGGAAGCTGATCGCCTTCAGCGGGGACAGGTGACATTTCGTAGGGATGGAGATGTGTTAGTGATCGTGTGGAAGGACAAACGCCCAGTGAAAATGATCTCCACTCTCCATGACTCTAGGATGGAAGATTCTGGTGCTCAAGACAAGAACAATCAGCCAATTCGAAAACCGGCATGTGTGCTGGACTACAACAAACATATAGGTGTTAACAAACTGGACCAGATGGCAAAATATTATCCCTGTATGCACAAAACCATCAAGTGGAGCAAGAAATTTGTGCTATATTTGTTTGAATTGTGCATTGTGAACTCCCACATCCTGTACAACAAGGCAAATCCACAGAAAAAACTTGCATTGCTTGATTTCAGGATGGAACTGATTGATCACATTCTTGCAGAATTTGCTCAGGCCGAGGCTGCCGTCCCCGACCATAATTCCTCTGACTCTGAAAATGAAGGAGAAGCTCCTGAAACTGTGGTATGTCCAAGGTCACCTAAAATTGATCCTGCCAATCGCCTGGTTGGTGGAATGAAAGCTCATGACTTGGTAGAAATTCCACCAACCAATAAGAAAAGGTACCCTTCCAAGCCATGCAGAGTCTGCAAAAAAGCTGGAAAACGCTCAGAAACAAGGTACTTCTGCAAAAAGTGTGAAGTCCTACGCCACAAAGGCCAATGCTTCAAAAGATATCATGTGTATATCCATTACTGATCTGGTAAGTCATTCCCAGGTATATCCATGAAAATGGAATGCTGTAAAACACACTGGTGCCAGTTTTCTGTGTAATAAAATATGTAAGTTGAAATTTGGCATTTTCTTTAAAAATGGCTGGCCGGATGGGGGCAGCACTGGTCAAATGAGTAGCAGTGAAAGTGCTAAGCTTTTTACTTAATTTTCATGTGTGTTCGAACAAGAGTTTTCTTTTTTGGACACAGAGTGTGTAGAAACTGTTCAAATGTTCTAGAATTCCGAGGACTTTCGGTTATATTTTTAGTCTTTATCAAGGATGATTTTATGTATTCAGTTTCATTGAGTGCGTGCGTTGTGTATATCCTTTTAGTGTTACAGAGATGTTTTATTTTCCGAACACACCACATTGTGGCCGTGTTCTTATTCAATATTATTAAGTACTGGCTTTTTCTTTTTTATTCTAAAGACTTCCATTATTTTAAAGCTTTTGTACAGGTGGATGAGATTCTAATACATGAAAAATTAAATAAAATCTTAATCATAATACCTTGTCTGTCGTTTTGAATGAAGCATATAATATATATATATACATGTGTATTCCAGGATCATTTTCCAACTTATTCAAAATGATCCTCGCTCTCTCTAACATTCTAAATTTCTGTCCTTGAGTAAGAAGTTGCCTTTCACGTACGATTTCATTTTCTAGATTTTTTTCACTGATCTTTGTACTGTCATTGTCATAGGTGAAACTTCTCTCCCATATGCCAAACTCTCTCTTACAAAGGTCTTGCCGATTGAGTTGGATCTTTTCTAATTAAACTCTTCTGCTCTAAGTTGAAATGATGATCCCTCTTCCTTTTGTGACCTCCTGATACAGATTTCCTCTCTACTACTCCCCCTTCTTTAAACTTATTCACAGTTCTCTTGATGCTTCTTGAAGAGACTGTGAAGATGGAAGTCTGAGTAAAAACGTTGGTACCATTACTGAAAGCATGAATGATCTTTTTTCCTCTCACCATTGCTTATTTGGTAAGACATTGGGGCTGACACAAAAGGATTTTAACCCGTTCTCTTTCTAGCTGATTAACTCAAAGGGTTTTTTCAGTGTTTCTTGCGACAAATGGTGTCAAGATGGCTAACCATCTTATCTGAAAACTCGGAAAAAGGAAATTCAGTTAGTGTTGTTGTTTTTTTTTTTAGATATTACACGTTTTGTTGGATGGAGAATGATGCCGTTACACGATTTGAACAATTTTGCTGTTGTATTCGATATATGTGTGCGTTCGAATAAAAAAAAATGTCTACATTCGTCGCTTCTCAAATGGTGAGAAATACAAAAAATGTAGCGACGCTTAACTTTAAATATAAATGTTAAATTACTAACATTCGATGTGTCTACATTTGCAGCCGAGACGACTTCATTCAGATTCTTATTACTTTTGTTGTTTTTGCTTATTTTCTAATACTGTTTTAAATATCGCACATTATAAGAGCAGTGGCATCTGTTAAAAATGTTAACACTATTACCACAGAAATGTTGAGTATTAAAACAATAATTCATTGAAATTATAACATGCAATATATGCTTAGAAACAACAGTGATAATACCAAAATTTGGTGTCAAAATGAATGATATCGGCTAGTCTCAGCTTTTAGAAACATTTAACACCAGAATTTTAAATCTTAAATTAAAGTTAAAATATATCAAGTGATCACAAAAGTGACAACTATAAACTCACACAAGCAGAAAACAGAATAACAAATAGAACGTGTGTAAATCTGAGAAATGTGGTCACTGAGTGATGAGAGTATATTTCCCATTTTCAATATATACATATACATATGTATATATATATTGATAATATTCATATATATATATATATATATATATATATATATATACTGACCAATAATATTATCATATATATATATATATATATATATATATATTTATAATATTAGTAGTATGTATGTATGTATGTATGTATGTATGTATGTATATATCTATATATATATATATATGTGTGTGTGTGTGTGTGTGTGTGTGTGTGTGTAAATTATCAAGTGGATAGAATCCAGGTAGAGTCAAATGTCCATGACAGAAAAAGCTCAAACACAAATATTCAATGGTTATAATTTATTACATTGGAATCATAATCACGATCCAATTCATCAGACCTACAAATTCAAAAAGAAATCGGAAAATATAACCCCGGGTATGAAAAACAAAATGTTAATGAGAGTGTATGTGTGGGAGTGGGAAACAAGTGTGAGAGGGAAATAAATGAAAGCTCTAGAGAGGAGTGTAACGGAAAAAGAACAGGAAGGGCCTAAACATGAAGGTGGGGATTAAAATTTAAGAGAAGTTTTAGAGAAATTTTCATAATTTTATGGCGTTATTTATATTTTTAATGTCTTCACTAATATATATATATATATATATATATATATATATATATATATATATATATATATATATATATATATATATATATGTGTGTGTGTGTGTGTGTATATGTAAAAAACATTTATTACATCGAGCAAGGTTTCATTAACACACACGCACACACGGTGATATTTTGCATTATATATATATATATATATATATATATATATATATATATATATAGGAAAATTTCTCCGATTTAATAGAAAAAAAGATATATATATGTATATATATATATATATATATATATATATATATATATATATATATATATATGCAAGTTTCGTTAAAACGCCTACGACTGACATGGTGCCGTGGTTAAGTTTTTATATAATTTTTATGTGTTTGTATTTTTTTCTTTAGGGACATAAATTATATAAAATTGTCTGGATTATTTATATATCCAAGCGCTTTCCACCATACTTTTAGCCAATATTGTGGATGAATTTTATTTTACTTTTAAGTGAATTTATATATTGCCTCATGCATGTATCTAGAGTTATAGAAATATCTAATTTTGCAAACACGGTCAGCATATTGTGGCCGTGTGACTAGTTGATATAATTGCGCGTTGGCATTTACATTTTTAATAATAATACTACCATTATTTTTAGCATATTTGTACATGTGGATAATGCTATTATGTAGTGCCTTGATAAGGTCTTGATATCCTGGGTCAAGAGGCTGGTTGCTGGAAAGACTATTTCTAGCAAATAAGATTCTGCATCGTGCCACACAAGAAGAAGAACCCACTCATGGCTGTCCGACAATTTGTCAGAACACATCACCCCTTACATCAGACCACCGAAAGTCCCAGAATTATAACTACCTTGAATATCAAGTGTGGGGCGCAATTCAGACCAACAAAACTCCTTGTAACATCAAAGAAGAACTTAAACAGGAGACGATCCACAAGAGTTGCAGGAGATTCTGAAGTCGTCTGGAGGCTGTGGTTGAAGCCATTAGAAATTGTATTGAATAAATTTACTGTTTATTATTTAAAGATATCTTTGGTTAAGATACCTGTTAAAATGAGATTTCAGTGTTTTAAATTCATTTTTGCGTTATTTCGCCGACAATTTATCCATCGCACATACTCTCTCTCTAACTATATATATATATATATATATATATATATATATATATATATATAAATAGATGATTATGATTCATTTTTTTTTTGATTAAAATATATATATATATATATATATATATATATATATATATATATATATATATATATATATCAGAATACATTTGGGTAATTGAATGAAAAAAAATGAATCAGAA